TGGACTGCGCTCTCCGTCTGAGGACTGTCCTAACCTTGGGCAGTGCACGTCACTTTCTGTCTCTGTGCCTCCTTTCCTCATGTGTCACATGAGGGGGACTAGAGGATTTGTAATGTCCCTTCCCACTTGAGAGCTCTGCAGGACGTTAAGCTCTGTTCAAGGACCAGGGCTACAGAAGCTCGGGTCCTGGGCCCGGCTGTTTTCCGGTGCTCCTTGAACACCCAGTTTGCCTGCATCTCAGAAGCTCAACCTGTTAAGATATGTGTCGCCTGAGTACTTGTGGGGTCCTCTTTGTCTTGTTTCTTGTTTCCGTGTGTTTTCTTGGCCTGTTGCTTTTCCCAGGCTGGCCATGTTCACTCTCCGTGTTCTCTTTTGCAGATGATGGTTGTGGATGTGAATCTGGCTCCATGGTTGGAGTTACAGCATTCCGTGTCATATGAAAGAAACGCCAGCCACTTCAGCAGTGACTCCAGACCAGAAGTCTGTCTTCCTCTTCTGGGCGGAGGCGCTGTCAGCCGCGTCTCCCAACTCCGTGAGTGAGCCGGGAGGGTCCTTTCTCACCTCGTCAGCTGCAGCTGCTCTGCAAGGCTGCCTGGCCAGTCACCTTCCAAGACGTTAGGGGTAGAAACAAATCAGCGCTCACTGGAACAGCAGGGCCCTTGTTCCGCCTGAGCCACGCTTCCCTGCCTTTGCCTCTCAGCCGAGAACCGTGAACGCTGACAACAGCCCCTCACTACTGGCTCCGGCAGTGGGAGGCTCACTGAAGAATAAAAAGTCCTCCCAAGATACGAGATCCAAATTTGCAGATAATTCCTATGCGCTGTAGTTGTTGAGGAGGAGAATGATTTGAGTGATGTGGAGTGAGCAGAGACAGCTTCGAGGAGGGGTGAGGCTGGGCTTTGAGGGGCAGTTGCCGAGAATTCAGGGACAGGGTGGGAGGGTGGCCAGTAGTTGGAGAGGGACATTGACCAGGCAGAGCTGAGAGTCCATCGGGGAGTTATGGGAGAGAAGGTCTGACACCTAGAAGGCAGATTTTAGGAAGACTTACATGTCACACTGCAATATTTTAATGGGGTTGACGAAGCAGGGTGCCACCCATAGTAGGTGCCTGGGAGTCGTTAGTGAGACCCACCCTGACTTAGTTCAACGAACACATGTTGACTGACACCTGCTGTGTGCCAGGCACTGTGATCTCCACAGGGATGTAGGGTGAACTGGTGGCAGTCCTGGCCCATGGAGAAGGCACACAGTCCATGGGTGATCGGGGACCTGATGGCAGTAGAGTCCTGAATACACCAACCAGGTGCTCGGAGCAAGTCACTCAACTTGTCTGAGCCCACGTTCTGTGTCCATATAAAGATGCTAATATAGCCCTCACACTTGAGATCAGATTTACCTGAAATCTAGATTATTGTGCCAACCCTGCCAGTCCTAACATCGTGACCATGAGCAGTTCACCTATATTTAACTTCCTAAGGTATTGAGCGAGGTGACTCTCACATGTAGCTTCTGTAATAACTGCAAAGCAGAGGCATGTTACAAATGCTCTAATAGAGTTACAAATACAGAATTTAGATGGAGGTGCAAGAGGAGGGAGATACTAAGGGCGGTAAGGGAGCTTTTCATGAAAGAGAGGGGAAGTGTTTTATTTATTTATTTATTCATTTATTTATTTTGAGACAGAGTCCCACTCTGTTGCCCAGGCTAGAGTGCCATGGCATCAGCCTAGCTCACAGCAACCTTAAACTCCTGGGCTCAAGCAATCCTCCTGCCTCAGCCTCCCAAGTAGCTGGGACTAGAGGCATGTGCCATCGTGCCCGGCTAATTTTTTCTATATAATTTTAGTTGGCTAATTAATGTCTTCCTATTTTTAGTAGAAATGGGGTCTCGCTTTTCTTCGGGCTGGTCTCGAACTCTTGAGATCAAACGATCCATCAAATGATCCGCCCACCTCGGCCTCCCAGAGTGCTAGGATTACAGGTGTGAGCCACTGAGCCCGGAGGGGAAGTGTTTTAATGTGCCGAGATGGGGTAGGGAGGATGGTTAGACAGTCTCGAGGGGAAATAATAAGATTGGTGATGGTTAGAGCAAAATGAAGCATGTGTTTGGGGCGATAAGCAGACATTTGCACAGCATGGGTGGGCAGGTAAATCATTGCAGTTTAAATCTGGAAAAGACAGAGTTTAGTTAAACGGTGCAAAACTTTGGTTTTCATGCTAAGGAATTTGGGCTTCGTTCTGTAGGCAGTGAGGGAGGCGTTTGGTATCTTCTTGTCATGTTAGCTGAGCCCGAGATCTGTCCCTTCATCCCCGGGACCCTAAGGGTATGTGGACGGTGCCCTCTTTTGCTTTGTGGCTACATGGTGGGAGTGAGGCAGCAAGTGTCCTTCCTGAGCCCCTCACGTAGGGGACTGCTTCTTCTCATGCCGAGATTATGGAAGCGGGTGATTTGCCTCCCTCAGGATTTCCCTTGCCTCCACCAGGGGGGGAGAGGTACTTGGGGAGCTCAGTGAAGCAGCCCTTTTACTAACCCACATGGGAGCACTTCTGTGCTGTAACAGCTGTGTGGCTGCACACGCGTGTACCTGCCAAGCCCCACGTCTCCTCCCTGCGCAGCAGTTGTACGGAGAAAGATGGTCCCAGTGTGCTTTTCTTCTGCTGTAGAGAGCAGACGGACACTCAGGCCTTGGAATTTCTGTTGATTTGTTGATTGATGCTGTGCTTCTGTCTGGTCAATGTTCTGTTCATGTCAGGAACTGTTACAATTTTTGTAATTTTTAGCGTGATACTTGCCATTGGTTTTGATATCCAATGATAAGGAAAAGAAGGAAGTGTCTTTGGCTTTACTATGTTTTCATAAATAGATTTCATCTTCACAAAGCCCCATCTGTCATAAGGGATGACCCAGTATTCCATTACTTCCATGGACAGAAGACTGGGAAGTCAAGTCTCTATATCAGATTCCTCTCTTGGGGAATGCACATTTCCTTTTATTTTTATTATAAGGGAGAAAGCATTTTCTAGCTATAGACAGTGGTTTGAAGGAGTTAGTGATTAGTTGGTGTTTTTAGCTCTTTGAAATAATATGTCTCTTGCATATGAGAGTTTCTTTCAAACACATTCTTGCAGTTGGGAGCAGGTATCAGCACCTCTCCTCTGCCTTTCTTCTAAGGACCATCACACGTGGGAATGTAGTCACCTTTATCTTCCTTTTTGTGGCTCATTGTCAGGATGGCGTCCTAGGGACGGAGCCGCCCAGCCTTTACCATCTGTACCTCCTGCACCCAGCCTTCCCCTCCATCCTCCTGGATCTGGCCAACACCACGGGCACAGTGACGGCTTCGCAGGGTGAGTCCAGGGCCGGTGGGAGGCTGTGTACCCAGGTGAGGGGAGAGTGTGTGCTGGCTGTGGGTGAAGAGACATTGCCCCACCTAGGGAAGGATGTGTGCTTTTCAGACGACAGCAGGAGCATTTTCCCTGGTGGCCCTGTGACCAGGGACACTGCCACAGTGCTCCTTCTGGCTGGGAGCACCATGCTCACTGCGTGAGAACCCACATGCTCTGCATGTGCTGTGAGCTGAGGTGAAAGTGCATTTCCCATTGCAAAAGGGTTCTGCGGTGATGATTCATGCAGCCACTCCTTCAGCAGACATTTATTGAGCATCAGCTGTATGCCAAGGCTGCACCACATGCTGGGAATACAGATAATACTAGTTTCTTGATGCTCTCGGAGCTTAGGATTTGAAATTAGCCTTGGGGGCATGATGAAGGTAGGATATGTTTTGTCAGGGTGTTTATTTTTATTTTATTTTATTTTTTTGAGACAGAGTCTCACTCTGTTGCCCAACTAGAGTGCCGTGGCGTCAGCCTAGCTCACAGCGACCTCAAACTCCTGGGCTCAAGTGATCCTTCTGCCTCAGCCTTCCGAGTAGCTGGGACTACAGGCATGTGCCATCATGCCCGGCTAATTTTTTCTATATATATTTTTAGTTGTCCAGCTAATTTCTATTTTTTAGTAGAGATGGGGTCTCGCTCTTGCTCAGGTTGGTTTCGAACTCCCGAGCTTAAATGATCTGTCCGCCTTGGCTTCCCAGAGTGCTAGGATTACAGGCGTGAGCCACCTCGCCCGGCCTTGTCAGGGTATTTAGTCAAGACTTTTTTTTGAATAGTAAGTACTCACATTGCACAGAAATTAGAGGAAGGGGAAAATATCAAAGGAAAAAAATTGCCCATAATCTGACTGCTCGTAACCACTGTTAACATTTTGGAAGTGTTCTTCTACTTTATGTGTCTGTCTAAATAATACGGTAGAGCAAAATGCAATCAGATATTAGAGCCCCTTAATTCAGGAAACCCAGGCCCTGGAGACGTAGCCTCTGTTGCCCGCTAGTCCGGATTGTCTGTCGATCTCCTCCCCAGAGATTTCTTGCTTCCTAATCTGCTGTTTCTGTAGGGGGTTTGGGGAGTAGGAGAAGACCAGACTGGCCACATCTCCTCTCATTATTTCTTTCCACATTCTTTTGCCACTTGGGGACTTGGCTGTCTACTTACAAACTCCTTTGCCTTGGGTTGCAGCTAGTGCTTGTGGCTCTCGATTTATTTGGAAGAATAGCTCATCTGGAACTGGCAGGTGCACTGTCCAGTGCTGGGGAGTGGGTGGAGGGGGTGTCAGTCTGCAAAATCCTGTGATAGGATCTAGGTCAGCTAGTTTTCAATATTAGTGTAAAATATTCTTCAGTGAACATTAAATAACGGCAATTAAGTATCTTGCAACCATGCTTATTACTTACAACTTCTGTTTTAAAGATGAGGCAGAATGAACACTGGTGAGGTAAATAGCTTATGTGACCTCACACTGACAGTCTAGGAATTCTCAGGGTTCCTACTTCGTTGGGCTCACATAACTACTGAATTCCTGCTGGGAGTGGGCACATTCTGTCATTTCTTGAGTTGGGGCTTATTTTGGAAATATCTTCAGAAGAGTAAAGGTGCAGAGACCAGGAAGGACGTACTGTGGTAGCGGCCCCCAGTCCCTCAGCTCCCTGCGCCTGCTGTCCCTGCCTTGTTCATTAGGTGCATTTCTTGTGTGAACTAGGAGTAAATGAATGAACGTGTTGCTGAACCAAACCACTCTCTTGTTAGTAGTAAAAGGCATGCGTTGTTAACTGCTCTTGTTTTTGTCCTTCCTCAGTTGGAATTAACGACCTCTGGAAAGATGCCTTTTATGTTACCAGGACAACAGGACCAAGCTCCGAAGGCCATCCCGCAGCCCTGGTGGTCAGCAAGCTCAGTCTGCGGTGGGCACTGATGGAGGGCCAGGTGGCCCAGCTACAGGAAACCACCCCCAAAATTGGCCGTGGGGAGTTGCGGAGATTTCTCTCTAGGATAAAGTTTGTTGATGCTCCCTGTGAGGTGACTAGCTTCTATTTTTATTTTTTATTTTTTTGAGTCAGTCTGTGTCCCTTTTTTTTGAGACAGAGTCTCACTTTGTTGCCCAGGCTAGAGTGAGTGCCGTGGCATCAGCCTAGCTCACAGCAACCTCAATCTCCTGGGCTCAAGCAATAGCAATCCTTCTGCCTCAGCCTCCCGAGTAGCTGGGACTATAGGCATGCGCCACCATGCCTGGCTAATTTTTTCCATATATATTAGTTGGCCAGTTAATTTCTATTTATAGTAGAGACGGGGTCTCGCTCTTGCTCTGGGTGGTTTCGAACTCCTGACCTTGAGCAATCCGCCTGCCTTGGCCTCCCAGAGTGTTAGGATTACAGGCGTGAGCCACCGCGCCCAGCCCTCCAGCCGTGTCCTTTATAAAGCAGGGACAGTGAGGAGCTTTCCTGAGGGGATGAGTATCCAGAACCAGTTGTTTTGGATCAGCACTGTTTCCCAGGGGTGCTTTGTGACCATGGAGAAATGGTTCATGAGTTCATTGTTTTCAGCTGGAAATTGTCCCATCTCCCTTAGGGGACATTTCTATTGTGCCAGTGACTGGGCAGGGGTGGAGGGTGGTGGATACCACTGGTATTTTCTGCTGGTGTTGGAGCTGTAATGCTAATGTCATGGAGGGCTTGTAGCAGTTAGGTACTATGAAGAATTATCTTGCTCAAAATGCTAATGTCCCCCTACCCCCACCCCAGAAATGCTCTGATCTAGTTCATAGTTCAGGAGCTTATCACAGAAAAGGACAAAGTCTCTGGGGCTTTCTGGGAGGAGGAGATACTTACAAACCATTGGGGCTGAAGAAAAGGACAGGGAAATAGAGGAATGTGCTGACTTCCTTTAGGTGTCATGTTTCTTTAAAAATCTCTACCAGGACAAAAAATTAACGTCACCAATACTTCTGCCCTTTTCCACAGATCTAGTCTGATGGAATCTTCGGTTTCAGAAGATGTGAACAGAATGGAGCTCTCCTGTCAGTATAAAATCAGTTCTCTGGAGAGAAGGAAGAGTGTTCCAACCTCATGTTACCGCCTCCTCCCGACTGCTGCAAAGCACTTTGGAAGGCGCTTTGGAGTTCTTTGATAACAGCATGATCCATTCGGCTGGGCGTCTTACCCACTACCTTCTCAGTCCCTGCATTAACTCCCTCTAGGAACTGTGTATGGATAGTTTGGAAATGTGAATCTTGTAAGTGTTTTGTTTTTTGTGTGTGTCTAATTTATAACGTCTTGCTGGGAAATCCAGTGAAGTCTACGACTAGGAAACCTCTTATTTTGCATTATGCCGTGTTTGTGTGTTTTTAGTGTTGTGGTGAAGTTATTTTTCAGATATGTCCTAAGCTTCAGGGATCCCATTTCTTGTCCTTCTGAAATATATCTGGTTTGTTGGGCCATCTTGAGACCTCCAGGTGGCTCACCTCTGATTTCAGGGGTCACTCCTCATTTCTCTCCAGGTTCCCTCCCCCTCCGTGCTGTGGCAACTTCCCAGCTGTAGACGGCAGGGAGACACTGGCAGCTGAAGACTGAGCTAGCCATCCCAGCATTTTATCTCTTCCTTGAGTATCCTGTTTCCTCAGGCTTTCCATCTGTATCTGTTTAGTGGCCACAAGAATAACCATATTCCTATCACAAGGATAGCAAGAGAAACATAGTTTCAGTGACCCATCTACGACCAATTCCATCTGTTACACGTGGCTTGGATGGTTCTGCCAGTCGTGATCTTCCTCCATGGTGGCTCAGAAGCGTGCCGTGCACGCGCATGCTGTCTTCACCCCAGAGGGGAACTGGACGTTGGGGAGCTTCGAGGCTGCCGTCTTCCCTGGCTTCCTCTCTCCTCTGCTTTCTTTGCATCTTTTTCTGTAGGGCATCCTCTCACCTCCTCTCCTTTGCTTTCTCTCCTATTCAGGGATATGTTTCTGGACTTCTGCTTTTGCTGCTTGAGTCCAATATGCAGCCACTTTGCCCTGCACTTGTTCCTTGTAGAGCCTTTGGAGCATTGTATTTTGAGAAAATTCTTATGTAAATACTATGACTTTTGTAAATGATTAGGTTCTTTAGAATTATCTCTAGTGCTTACTTTCCCCTTCTTCTCTATAAATCTGTTACTTCTGTTACATTCTCCACGAAACTTCTAGGTCATTATTTACATAGCAGAAAATCTTATGTTAGCTGATAGAGAACTACTTTTCTTCTTGAATAATTTTGATAGGTCATCCCTGACTGCATCTCAGGCTCTCTCTTTACTTGGGCTTGTATCTGTTTTAGCTTGTGGTAATAAAGGGATTCTAGAAACTTATGGATTCCAAATTTAAAGAGATATCCATTAATTACCCACTGACAGGCATTATGACATAGCAGGAGGTTGGTAGCAACAGATCCAAGCAGGCATGTTGTCTGGCCTGCAGAATGGCCTTGCCAGGTTTCTGGGTACCTCTGCCTTAAGATGCTGAAGGCAAATTTGGTTTCAACACTTTGGAAGTTGTGTGTGGGTCCAGCTTGATTTTGGGGGGACAATTCACAGGATACCCCAGAATATGGGAATGATTCCAGATTCATTTCTAGGGTTTGAATCTAATTGGCTATAAGGGCCCAGGATTTAGTTTGGTTTAGGATAGAATTCTAAGGATTAACTTATAGTCTACTGAACAGCCCAAACTGGGGTGCTGGTCCTGTGGCCTGGCTGAGCCGTCCAGCATACCCTGGTTCTCTACTGTGTTGAGGTTTTCTGGGAAGCAGCCACTCTAGGCATGAGTGAAGTGCAAGGTTGTTCACTGAGGATCTGTTTTGATGGGATTGTTTTGGCAGAGGACTGTGTTTATGCAGGGGTGAATCCCAGAAAAAGAAAAGTGAAAGCTAGAGAAACAACATCCCTGAACTCTTCATGATGTATTTGCAAACTAACTTAACATGGATTCTTTTGACTATGAGAAGTTTGAATCTCTCCTTGCTAAACAATTGTAAGCTCTAGGTTTCTTCCTCCTTCTGCAGCAAGTACAGAAGGGTATAAGTGGTGGCTGGAGACTGAGGAAGCTTCATCTGACCAATGTGGGTGCTAGTCTCGTCTAATGTGTCTCTAAGCTTCCTTATTTTGCAGGCAGCCACCCACCCAGACAGCCAGGCTAGGAAGTGCTTTCTTTCTCCAAGCCCAACATAGGTTGCCAGCAAAGCCAATGTGACCACTACTTAGAAATAGTAATGACTTCTGCAAAGGCAAGGGTTCTTCCCCTCCTCCTAGTCTCTTTCCTTCCTTTAAAAACCCTCCCTTCTACCCTAAACAGCATCCTTGCCGCCCCCAACTGTGTGGTGTGGTGATACTAACCCCTATGAATGTGAATTCCTATCCTTATTGTCCTTTTAAAGAGGAGCCAGCTGGTATACTGTCAGGAAGTACTATTTAAAATGTGAACAGTTACAGAATAAATAAATATTGTGTACAGGAATATACTTGTGTGCTGTTCTCCTTCTTGGCCATCAGGGATGGTTAGTTTTCCCTTATGGAAAAGAGAAAGGGCAAGTGGATGGCATCTTTATGGAGAAAATAATAGGGATAAAAATGTGGGGGCCCAGAGAGGAACCTGTGCCCTTGCTGTGTCCACTGGGGAAGTCCCCCTGTGATTCTCCACCGGGGGACCACAGTCCCACCTGATAGCCTCAGTCGGCCATTTCTAGAAGTGAACCTGACCCTGTGTGCTGTAGGAGCCTTCTCATGTTATTCCACTCCCGACAGCTCCTAGGATGATCACATTTAGCAACACTTTCATTGGGTGCCTACACCATGTGGATGCAGGACACTGTCATAGGCAGTGTGGAGCATGCCTGCGCTATGTGTCAAAGCACTCAGTGATGCCTCCCTCTTCCAGGCATGTGTCAAAGCACTCAGTGATGCCTCCCTCTTCCAGGCAGTGACTTCCAGAAAAACTCAGGTGCACCATGAAAAGTTGAGCCCCAATCAAACTACCATGAATTTGCTCTCCTCCCCTTCTCCAATTTCCAGATAGATAAACCAGCTCTATAAGACCCTTACGGGCAGGAACTGTGTTTTACTCCTCTTTTTATCTCCATTGTTTAGCCCAGAACCTGGCACAGGAGTGATCAGTACAGGAGAGAAGGGAATTTGGGATGATGCACGAGGTTGGGCTGGGCAGAAGGAGATGAAGCTGTGGAGGAAAAGGGTGCCTCTTTGGACTTGTACTTTTAAAATGTACCCTTATTCGTAGCCTCTAAAAATCATGCTCAGGAGACAAACTTTGGCTTAAGCACGTGTTGTTGATAACAAATGAGTAAGGTAGGGCTCAGCCTGCTCTCCAAACCCACTTAACTCCTAACACTGCTCCTCCTCTACAGATGACCTAACCGCTTCTTCCAGCTCCTGGCCAGCACCTTGTTGAAATTCCTTGTTCTGTAGCTCTGAGTAGAAGTCAACTCCTTCAGAGACAGACCGGACGGGCTGATCGTGGTACTGGTGGTAGCCGGTCAAAGGACCTGCTGGGCGTGCGGCACATGACAGCTGCTGAAGGAAACACTGGTGGTGATGAGGCAGGCAGTTCGGGTTTCCTCTGAAGCTCCTATTGTGCTTGCACTTGAACTCCAGCACCATCCTGGTGTACGTGTTGAAGGTGGTGACGGCTGATGCCATGCAGCAGGTAAAGGAAACCCAGGCCGTGCTAGGGACAAATGTGCAAGAAAATTGGACATTGAGAATTTGACTTCCTTGAAAGAAAAATGCCATGATCTCTTCCTACTAGTAGCCTAGACTAATGCCTCTTAGGTATTTAGGGCTCTGAGTGTGCTAACTTCTGCCATGTTCTAGGTAAAGAACTGTGGGGGCGAGAGAGCTTAATTTGGTCAGTCTTGGTAGACATGTTCTGAATGCTTTGGAGTAAAGGAGAATGACCCATGTAGTAGTACTAAAATCAAACAAGCTTAATGGGCTTGTTTTCACTAAATTGATTAGTCTTCTGTGCCATGCTCTTTTATTCCTGCTGTGCCTATTTTATGTGTGTGTGTGTATGTGTATATATTTGGACATCTGTTTCCCAAGCTGCAGTTACCCTTGTAAAATCTCTGAGATTCCACAGCCTTGTAGCTCAACTGTATGCAGTGGACACGGACTAATGTACTCCCTGCCTTTCCCATCCCAACACACACGCCCTGCCACTCAGATCCCCGGAGGAATCATCTCTCTCCACCTTCCTTTGTTTTGAACTCAGCAGTCTTAGGGTCCACAGAGTTGAGTGTCTGAGAGAGTCATTCAGGAAAACGCCTACTGTAAATCTGGAGGTACTATAGGTTGCCCTAGTGGAATTTGCTTCGTACGAAAACAGTGTGGTTCTTGGCTGAAGGGAATTCATAATGGATGGGAGAGAAGCTAGAGATTAAGAGAAGCTGGATGGATTCAAGAAAGAAAAAAAAGACACCAGGGAACTGTATCAAACACATTCCTAAAAACTTGGAAAGTCAAACCCCTAAATCTCCCCACGGTTCTGGGAAGCTCAGGAAACAGGAAGTTTTGTGAGGTTAGGGAGGGATTTCATGAGGCCAAGTGATGGCTGATGCCAGGCCACACGCTGGCGCTGTCTGTTCCTATCTGCTGCCTCTCACAGACTGAGTAGGTTCAGGCTGGGACGCTTCCGGTGGCAGTTGCCTGAGCATTACAACTGCTGTAATGCCACAAACGGCCTAAAGAGAGGCAAAGGGTGAGAAGTGGGGGGCCTGGGAAATGCACTGAGCTGATGCAGTGGCTGGTGGACCAAAGATTCCGAATCAACATATGTCCCAACATATGTCTCGTGACACACAGGGGCAGGTTTCCATATTGCCTTCTTAGAATGGAAACGTGAGCCCAGCGCTGTGTCTCTGCAGTGCTCTTAACCAAGCACTCATCCTGGACAGTTGATGTCAGTACAGGTTTGCCCTGAATAAAGAGCGATTCTCAAGGGAGAAAGTAAGGAGCTTCTAACCAAAAGGAATGTTTAGCTCGAATGTGTTTGCTTTGTCACCATTGCTGCGTCTCTCTCTTTTAAGAGAAATCTAAAACGACTGACACCTTAGTTCTTTAAGGGGTAGAGAAGGATGGTGGTAGGGAAGTTTTATTTCTAACACAGTTTGGTAGACTAAGAATGGAGATAAGAGGAAGAAGTTACTCTTCATTGTAGGAGAAGAGTGAGCTGTTCACTGGGAATGGAATTCAATCCAAATTTCAAGACTAATGCTCCATTTTTCTGTCCTCCAATATATTGAATCATAAAATTAAAAAAAAAGCATCATTTCCATAAGCCATACAATCAGTCTCATTTCCCAAGGGCAATCTGTGCATCAGGTGAAGAAGCAATTGCCACAGCTGACCAGCCAGAAAACCGGACAAGACAGCGTCCTCCCCAAACAGACCAGAGGGACCCTCTGTGCAGCTTCTCAGAGGCGGGGGAAGAACAGATGTGTCCTGATGCCCCAGGCCTGTGTTTGGCTGACAGACTCCTGGGGTGAGGGGTGAGGAGGAGGCAGGAAGACAGAGTAAGCCTCTAGTTGAGGGTGGAAAGCCTAATGAAGGCTGGCTGGGCAAGGGGCCAGCAAGGTTCAGGAGGTAACAAGCACTTACTAGAAGGCCCAGCCATAGTTCCAAGCGTGTGGTCTCCAGTCTTCTGGACCCAAGTTGACAGTTGCCTGGAAGACTTGTGAGAACATCATATGGGCCACCATCCCCAGAATACCTGTGGAGGGAACAGGAATGCAAGGCCCTTAGAGAGAGGCTGTCTCGCCAGGAATTCTACCAGGATTCTACCAGGAATCTCATTTCAGAGCAGGCTCATCATCTGGCGTTGGGTATAGCCTATGTTGGGGCGTCCAGTACCCTCACATTTCCCAGAAGACTAATCTGCAATGGGGGCTTCTTCTTGACTGTCTCTGCAGTGGGTTACCCTGGACTTCAGGCTGAGAGCCATGGAAAAATCTGCACCCAGAGCGCTGTGCCCTTTTGTTTATCCCCCCACGTGCCCAACGTTGGCTTAATTCTTCATCTTGTAGATACATCTCTCCCTCTACCAACAGAAACCACTCTTGGAAAGCTGTGTGAATGTCACAACTAAAAAGTAAACCAAATAATAGATTTTACACATTGAGAAAGCTTGCAAATAAAGGAACCTAGAGGTATTTTGTAAAGTACATAATGATCCAATACACAATTTCATGTTATTTAAATTTAAAATTTAAAGGTACCTGTAATGTGTCTCCTACCTCCACCCTTTATACCACCCTGGGGCTCCTCCTTCCTCCAGCTAGTGCTCCAGGGTGGCTGAGGACCCCTCCCTCTTCCACTTTGGAGTCACTCACCTGACAGGACAGAGGACACGGCAGCAAAGGCGCTGAGCTTGAGTCCACAGCCCGGGTTCCCCGAGAGCAGCAGGTCGGTCAATAGCAGGAGGAAACTGATGAATTGAAGTCCGATGTAGGTGATCTGGGCTCCCAGTGACAGCCATAGTATTTCTGTAGAAGCCAGAGGAAGAAGGAACTCTCACCCTGATAGTTAAATGACTGGACAAGTGAACATACAATGCCCGTAAGAGGTAAAAGCCTAGTGGCATCAAGAAAGGGACTATGAGGCAAAGCTGAAACCAGTTAGGGACATCACTTCATTTCTGGTCCTTTGACGTCACCCACAGCTCCCACTCTGCACCCAATATATAATCAAGTATATTTGCCTGACTGTAAGTATTAATACTGTTAAGGAGATTTGAGAAGAAATCATCTAATTTTCATAAATCCTATACAGATGTAACTATCATTAATTATCATTTTTGTCTCTCTTTCCTCATTTCATTTCGGAACAGTTTTGTTTCTTCTCTCCTTCTTCTCTTTTTCACTTTCTTCATTTTACAGAAAAAAAACATGGAGGAAAGGGAGGGAAAAAACCTACGCTTTTCAACATGGTTACTTGGCAACAGGAGTAAGGTAGAGGCTCTATTTGTGAGCCTCATTTACCCCTGCTGCTCGGTATTTGCATTCCTGCATATGAATGACAGTCACTCTAGCAGGAATCCATGTCACCCAGGGGGCTCAGTAGAGGAGAAAAGCGGGAGATCACAGTGCTGTGTAGATCGTAAGGGAAAGAGAGAGGGAGAGCCCCAACTCAAGGTAACTACTGTGAATTTGCATCAGACACATACTTGCCACAAGCCCCAAGGGAGGGTGGGGGAGGACAGCCTTCTCCATCAACCGCTTCCCTCCAGATCGGAGAGCGGGGTGACACAGGCCTTGCAGCGTGGCAAATTCCAGTAGTCCTTTCTCACCTCTCTCGGTTGGTGGTGTGAGTTCACTGAAGCTTCGGCACCTCTCGCCTGAAACAAACCAGGTGAAACTTCCTAGAGCCTCGTCCTCCGACTGCTGGCGGGAAAGCCCCCCACCCCTGTGCTGAGTGGGGCAGGCGGTCAGTCTGTGTCCCTTTTTTTTTGAGACAGAGTCTCGCTTTGTTGCCCAGGCTAGAGTGAGTGCCGTGGCATCAGCCTAGCTCACAGCAACCTCAAACTCCTGTGGGCTCAAGTGATCCTGCTGCCTCAGCCTCCCGAGTAGCTGGGACTACAGGCAAGCGCCACCATGCCCGGCTAATTTTTTTTCTACATATATTTTCAGTTGGCCAATTAATGTGTTTTCTATTTGGAGTACAGACGGGGTCTCGCTCTTGCTCAGGCTGGTTTTGAACTGCTGACCTCGAGCAATCCACCCGCCTCGGCCTCCTAGAGTGCTAGGATTATAGGCGTGAGCCACCATGCCCAGCCTGTGTCCCTTTTTGACAGCAGGAAAGCATGCATGGGTGAATGGATGGCACAGGTGACAGTCAGCCCAGGTTAATTGCTCTCGTTAGTTTCTGATGAAGACAAAGATGTTTCCCTGAGAGTGCCCCCGCACAGGTTAGTGACCAGAAGAGTTAGTGATCTTAGTTTAAATAATACCTTTTGCTGCCGCTGTGACAGCTGTGACACTGGGCCGAATGGGTCTAAATTGTTTCCAGGGCTGGGGATGGAGCAGTGCTAAGTGGCACAATAATAAATATAAATGTAAATACACACACATTGTTATTCCTCATCCATCTCCCTTTTCTTTTAGCCCAAGTCTGGAGAAGTAGCAAAAAAGGGCATTAGAAAAACCTCACTACCAGGTGCTCTCTTCCCAGGCCTCAAGGTGACCTTGCAGGGCTCTGAGCAGGGAGGAGGGTGTCCTCAGCGCCCGCTTTGCTAGTGCGACACTGGGTGGCAGGAGACCTGAGAGGAGACGGGAGAGGGCCTGCCTTCGGCTCCTCGAGGGGCCTTCCCTGATCTATTACAGTCACCCTCTCTGGCTTTACTTGCCCCACTTTTAAATGCAATGATAATCTTTAGGGTGAGAAAACACTTTGGGGCAGGGTTGGGGGGGGAAGGGGGAGGCCGGAAGGATGATCTGCTGTGGTCCTTCCATCTCACAAAGGAGAAAATCAAGGTCTATAGGAATGAAGTTATTCATACAAGGTCACCGTTGAGCAGAGCTGGGACTTTTTCTACAACATTCCTTTCTCTTTGTTTCTAAACGGCCATTCTAGCTCACTAGACTGGAAGGTCTCAATGAAACTTTTAAGGTTAATGCTATTTTACACATGCTATTTTAAACCAACTGGTCTACTAAAGAGGGAGGAGGTGAAAAGCCAGAAGCACTTCTGACCTTATTAAAAGTGGACCCCTCTGGAGAAGGGTCACAGGCAGAGGTGGAAGGTGCTGAGCTGGCAGGAGGGGGCACTGCTGGGCTTCCCAGGGCTTCCTTGCCTGCCTAAGATCCCTCCCCCGTCCTCCACCCTAATTCTCCACCCTCAAAAATCAGGCAGATTGGGGGTGGGGGGCAGGAGGCTACCTGGTTCTTCCACGGTTTCCTCGCAGGATAGCCACATGCCACTCTGGAAGCTAAGGAAGGAGAACCGGTCATCTCCGGCCTCCCAGTTGTAGTGCACCACCTCCTGGGTTGATGTATTGGTGAGCCCCCCATCCAGGGGCATCGGCATGTCAAAGCATTTGGCTGCCAGACTTTTTCCGCACAGGGGCTTGGGCACCTTCTGTGTGCCCACAAACCAGGAGCTGCTGAGCAGGGATACTGCGGAGAGGCTGAGTGATAGCAGGCTGAGGAGGGCAGATAGGAGTGTCCGTTGCCCAGAGAAGCCCTTCGGGAACTCCATCTGAAACAGACAAACACAGCGGGGGACGGGAGCTCAGGGCACGCCAACACCAACACCGACAGGCACAACCCAAGTCTCCTCCGGGGGGCCGTGGGGAAGCGCGGCTTCAGCAGCAGCAGCCTGGAGCAAGAACCTACAGAGTCTCAGAAAACAGTACCCCAAAATGAAGGCCCCACACAAGTGGCTCTCTCTGACCACCTCTGACACTCTGGTCTCTGGGCCTTCATTCCCCCCCAAAGCTAGCCATAGAAACTAGAATTCCTCTTCCCAAGGCGGGTCATAGAAACCAGAATTCCTTTCCCCAAAGCAAGCTATAAAACCTAAAAATACCACCCTAACTTTCCTCCCTCCTTTCTGTGTAAAAACTAGCCATAAAGAAATTGTCCAACCCATCTTGTCTGTAGGCCATAAGACCCCCCCTTCTACAGAGCACCCTGCCCCCCACCCTGAAGGAAGAAACGCTGTGCAAAGAGGCCAAGAAGAATCCAGACAGACCTTGCTGGGTTACCCTACTCGGTCTATTAGCACTAGACCCTACCCTTTTTGTCCATATTTCTACATGGCTGTCCGTACTTAGTTGAACTAAGCATAATAAACATGGACAATTTCCCCTTATCTTTGGATTTTCATTCTGAAGGCTCCCGTGTCATGTAAAACTATGATCCAATAAATTTGTGTGCTTTTCTCCTATTAATCTGCCTCTTATCAGTGACTTTCAGGGAAACTTCAGAGGACAAAAGGGAAGTTTTCTTTCCCTTGGCCTCTGCACACCTATAGCAATGACGCTTATTCGAGTTGGACCTTGTATAGTACCTACAGAAAAAAAGTAGTGATTTTTCTTAGATTGAATAATGACAAGGACTGGACTCTGGGCATGTTATACAACAATCCACAGAAGTAGGGATGATAAAGGTGGCCCACCAGATAAAAAACAAATTACAATGAGGGGTGTAGAAGTCAGGATGACCCGGATGTGACCATATGGAAATCTTTCATTTCTGTCTCAAGAGGTGAGAATGGTGTCTACGTGGCCGCCAGCTGCAATCCCTGGGGCAGGTGTGGACGTGTACCTTTGTGGAAGATGCCATAATGACCCTACCGACAGCACCTGCTCCAAGTGGCAGCGATGGGCATGCCTGCAGCCACTAACTGGCACCTTGGACCGACAGGGACTGAGCGAGAGAGCGTGAGGGTGAATCACTGCTAACACTTCCATGGGAAGAGAGGCTTGGAAGGGCTTCAGTTATCCTCAGTGTGAATTTCCTCGATGGTGCATTTTTCACATGTATTTGTGGTCATGTCTTACTTCCCCTCCAACACTTCAAACTGCCATTAGGTAGCAAGTGTGTCTCTGTCGCTTTTGCCTTTCCCACAGGGCCTAGCACAGTATTTTGCACATGAGACACTCAATACTCAATGGCTTATTAAATCAAGGGTGGCCCAAGTAAGCATCAGACAGCAATGACCTCGGTCAGAATGTGGTGAAGCCACCAAGGCTCCGACACACAAGGTTCAGGAGGAGAATTGGGAGTGCTCCGAATGCTTTGGTGGCAATCGTTTTTGGTTTTGTCTTCATTGAAAGGTAGTAGCAATGACTTGCTGAGGGATTTGCTGTTGTAACAAAGTGAGTTATTGGTGGCCTGGTCCTGCGTTATAGGTTCCTCTGAAAGGCATCTGGGGGCTGGGGCCATGGAAGGAATGTTAAACTGGAAATAAAGCCCTGGTGGAAGTTTCAGGGCCTTGAGGATAAAAAAGGGCAGTGGACTCACTGGGATGTGGGGCTAGCAGACACCCTAGGGAGGAGATGGGACTTATGGTTCTGGGACAGGCAGTGACCTGGGCCCTGCTTCGGTCCACTGCCACCGAGATGACAATCTCACAAGGGAGGTGGCCACGTGGTCCCCATGGGGGCTGGACACCAAGATCACGGCCATGGAGCCATGGGAGGGGTGCCCATGGCCAACCCCTTGGTCACTAGGGAGGGACCTGGAGGTCATCTCTCAGTGTGATGCTGCAGCAGTGTCTGCCTCACAGCAGGAACGCAACCGGTGGCAGCAGAAAGAACCATGGCCCACGTGGCTCTGGTAGCAGCCACCACTCACCTTGTCATCTTCAACCTAAAAGAAGAGAAGGGTGACCTAAAAAATGACCGGTGTTAGAGATGCCAACTTCGTTGAGTGGTGGCTTGGAGCCAGATTTAATTTGATTTAGAAAAATAAAGAAATTGGATGGCTGGTGCACTCTGGGTTACACAGCAGTCTATACACCCTATTAATACTGTTATATGAATACAGACTGAACAGAAAAATAATCCGTGCTTAGTTGCTGACAGATGCTTCTTAAAGTTAACCTTCTGGAGCTTTCCAGGCAATCCCTCATATCAGAATTAATCAGACCTAAATCTGCTTAGCTTAAGAGTCATAAATAAAACCACAGCTAAGTGGACAGGCCCATAAATCTGCCTTTCCTATCACCCCCTGCTTAACAGTTTCTACATTTAACAGAGAACTTTATCTTAGAAATACAACAGTTTGTTCTTTAGAATTTCCAGGGACTAAAACAGCATATACCACAGAAAAAGTACATATTATTTATGGCAGTAAGAAATACATCAAATGTACATAAAAACCAATATACAAAACATATGATAAAAACAGCTTCTGGAAAGCAATCTGCTAAAATGATTTTTTTCTTTTTAAAGCACTCAACAAATTAACTCCGCCAAGAATTTAAGGTTTTAGTCATTGCTCTGTTACTAGGGGTTATCCTTTTCAATTATTCTTATATCCATTGCTCTAATGGGAAATGGAATTCCAGGCAGAACATCTTCACATCGATAACTATTCTGCATAAAGATTGAAGTAAAGATGTAGGCAATTCTAAATTTTGTAACCTTAGGGTTCATTTTCAACAACTATTTTCAATTGGTTTGGAAATTTGTCTGCTATAACATCACTTCAGAGTCTAACTCGACACCCAATCCATTTTCAAGTTACCCATATATTTGCAAGTTATTCTCCAGCTTACTCAGAGATAAGAAAGAATAATGAACCCCACACCAAGGTACGGACACCTGTGGCACCCCAGGTGACAATGAATTTAAGGAAAAGGTGATTTGAGAAACAAAGGATGAAAAATAGCTTGGACTAAAGCTCGGAGAGGCTCCTACAGAAGGAGTGTCTACCAGGGACAGGGACAAGGAGCCCTACATTCAAGAATTATCTTCATGATCATCGGATGATAATCTTACTTATGAGCCTTTTCAAGAATTGCCTTCCATGCCTATAGGGCCATGTCCTTCATCCCATATTTCACCCATTTTCCAAAACATGCCTTTTCTCTCTAGGATCCAGATACCTCTTGAGTTGGAAGAACAAATCTAATTTTGTAATGGTTTCCTTAAAGTGGTCCTGAAGAAGTAACGGCCACAAGAAAGGCTATATCTTTGTAAATACTTACCGGCGTCATGCCAAGGCCACCCCTTCTTCTCTAGAGAAGGGACAGAGTGGTTTCTCTGAGACTCAGGGGCTTAGATCATTAGGAAGTGCCTGAGTGCCAATATTCTCAGCAACCCTTCCAACAACATATATTACCAGAAAAACTCAGAATTAGCATAGGTTAGTAAGGACAATAAATTGAAAGAACATGCCTCTGAAAAGAACCAGGTGCAGGTAGCTGTGAAATCTATCTCTTGACCAACAATAGGGGAAACTAGTTACCTTGGCCATGGTCAGCATCTTGCAGCTCATCTGGAAGGACTGGAGGATGCCATCTGTGCTGCGGGTCCCCTCGGTTTAGTGTCCAGAGGATGAAATCTGCCTTCCCACCCTCCTCCTGCTCCTTCCTAGCCCTCCCCTCCTATCCCACATTCACTGAGTGCTCATGATTAAATGCTGCCTTACAGGGAATTCGGGCATTTAATAATCGACAAGGCAATCATGGCCCAGCTGTTCTGGGAGATTACTCCAGAGAGCTTGCCAATGGGGATCTGGGATTAAGCACAAAGGCACAAGGGCCTGCATTTGCAGAGGAAAGTCTCTTTAGAAAGTAAATGAAGGTTTGGTTTCCATCTGACTGTGTTGTTCTCTATGTAACTGGTGCGAATGCGTTGGGCTTGATTTTAAGGCACACACAGAAGACATGACAGGGTCATCATTACTATAGAAGTTCCCATCCCCTTGGATAGGGTTGTCCATCTCTTTGAAAAAGCTCTGTTCTCTGCAATGTCAAGGCCTCTTGGTGGCATGGACAGGAGGAAATAGCTTCCTCGTCCCATGAGTGGTCACCCCCTTCTAGTCAGCAACATTAGAAAGGATTATGAAATGCCTCCCTCCACACACAGAATGCAGAGAGGGTGCTGGTGAGGGGGATGGGGAGAGGATGCAGATGGAGTAGCACTGAAGAGAAATGAATTCTGGGGTCAGTAATGCTACAGCTATATGACCATTTTTCTCCCAACCTTAAGGCAAAGGAATGAGAACGCTTTATTTTTCAAAAAAGACTTTCTAAAACTTTAAAAAAGTAATCAACTAATTAACAAATCAACACCAACAATCAATAGGGGTTCATTACATATCTTCTTGTCGCCAGTCACCCGGAAGTACAAGTTGTTCCTTCTGTCCTCAAAATTACTGGGTGACAAAAAGATCCAATTTCACTCTACAAAAAAGACACCTGCACTCGAATGTTTATAGCAGCACAATTCATAATTGCAAGGCTGTGGAAACAGCCCAAGTGCCCATCAATCCAAGAGTGGATTAATAAAATGTGGTATATGTATACCATGGAGTACTATTCAGCTCTAAGAAACAACGGTGATCTAGCACATCTTATATTTTCCTGGTTAGAGCTGGAACCCATACTACTAAGTGAAGTATCCCAAGAATGGAAAAGCAAGCATCACATATACTCACCAGCAAACTGGTATTAACTGAGCAGCACCTAAGTGGACACATAGGTACTACAGTAATAGGGTATTGGGCAGGGGGGAGGGGGGCGGG